CATCAGCATCAGCAGCATCAGTCATCATCATCATCATCATCATCATCATCATCATCATCATCATCATCATCATCATCATCATCACCATCATCATCATCATCATCATCATCATCATCATCATCATCATCATCATCATCATCATCATCATCATCATCATCATCATCATCATCATCATCATCATCATCATCATCGTGGCCGCGGTCGTCGTCGTGGTTGTGGTGGTCGTCGTCGTCCTGCACCTTCAGCCTCAGACAGGGGGTCGAGAACCTCTGCAGCTCTCGGAGCTGATCTCTCCTCCTCCTCCTCGTCCTTCGCATCCTGTTCCTCCTCCTCCTCCTCCTCCTCCTCCAGGGAGAGGGGCAGCAGACCACCACGTCCGAAAATCGTATCCTGCTGGGCCGAAGAGCAGGAGGCACGGCCACGTGCACAGAAGCGCACTTCTGCACAAGGGATCGTGGCCGTCCGGACCGAAGAGTATGAAGGGGCCCTGGGACACACACACACACACACACACAAATACATATATATACACACAAATAACCGGATTCCCCATATTTGCCTATATTTTCTGGGCTTCTGCCTTGCCCCCCACTTCCCCTGTCCCATGTTTTCCGGGGGATCGACGATGAATTGTGTCTGTGTGTTTTCTCCCCTCCTGAGAGTATGAGTCCAGACACGGCCATGTGCACCGCAGCTTATGTTTAACAAAAGGGGCCACGGCCGTCCGGACGGAGGAATAGGAGGTCGACGCAGGGCCGCGTGCACCGAAGCGTATTTTCTGCAAGGGAGCGTGGCCGTCTGGACCGAACATTCGAGGCACGGCCACGTGCACCGCAATAGGTTGTTTTCTAGCCTGGGTCGTGGCCCTCTGGACCGAGGGGTGGGAGGTCCAAAAACGGCCACGTGCACTGTAGCGCATTCTTTACAAAAAGGATCGTGGCCGTCCAGACCGCGACGTGGGAGGTCGAGACACGGCCATGTGCACCAAAGCGGATTTTGCAAGAGATCGTGGTCGTCTGGACCGAGGGACAGGAGGTCGAGGCACTGCCAGGGGCATCGCAGTGAACTGTCTAGTTACCAGGGACCGTGGCAATCTGGACGGAGGAATACGAGGTCGAGACACGGTAATATGCATCAAAGTGTTTATCACAAGAGATCGTGGCCGCCTGGAACGAAGAATAAGTAGAGACGAGACACGGCCATGTGCATCGTAGTGTATTTCTTGAAGAGAATCGCGGCCGTCCCGACCGAGGACTATGACCAGGAGGTCGCGACAAGGCCATGTGCACCAAAATATAGCCGGCATTGAGGCGAAAGTGCGATTCCTGAATAAATTGTGGAAAGTCTGAGCCGAAGCGGCGATGCCGGGAAACCGGCGGCGGGAGCTCCCCTCGGGCTCCCCGTCCCACCCGGTGGGTCTTCGGTGCGGTCTTCACCTCCACCAGAATGCTGCTGATCAAAAGCCTACGCTGGTCTAGATACACACGTCTGTTCGCCCTGGACCTTGAGCCGGGAAGAATCAGGCCGCCGGCATGAAGGACGTGATGTTCTGAAGCGAAGCCAGCATTCTGGGACTGGCTGTCCCCTTGGGGTCCTCCGCTGCAATCAATCCGGCCAAACCCGCCCAGTCCCTCAAACTCTAATGGCCCTGTCGGCTCGCTCGCCCATTTCAACTCCCCCAGCTCCCCCCACTGGTCGAACAGACCCGGCGGCACGACAACCAGCGTGGCGTTCGTCAGCACGCGGCAGCCTGAGAAACCGCAGGTGTTACGCCAGGGGAGCCCACAATCCGAGGGGAAGGCACCGTATGCAATGAGGATAGAGCACATGAGTACAGGAACGCATGGCGTGCTTCACACATCGGAATGGGTATTCCGATTTCGTGCGATCGCGAAAATACACTCTGATTAAATGAATGAGCACATGAAATTGCAGATTGGTCCCCAGCCTCTATCGACAAGCTATATTAGAGGTCGGAGCCTCCTTTGTTCGTCAAGTAGGGAGGCGCTAAAGCCTACTTGCTTGGAGTCACAACTCCAAAGCCACTTACGCACGTTCAACGACGGACACTTGTCGGCGTGAGGCCGCAATCGGATTCCAGCAAGAAGCGGTCGCAAATTATAAACTCTTCGCTCGTCAAGAGCCCACGCTCCCGCAACAAGCCTGCGCGTTTTGTTTTCAAGAAACAGAAAAGGGCACTCAGGCAGGTTGGACTCTCATACCCTCATAGATCGCAGCAGAAATGGAATCCGACCTGGAGAACGTTAGGACCGTGCAGCAGGTTCTACGAGGCAGCATGCGCTAAGCTTCTCGTCGGTGCTCAAGAGCAGGATGGGCGCGGGTGGAGAGTCCTCCCCCTCCTCCTGTCCAGAGGCTCCACGGCGTCCGACCACCTCCCAGGTCGAGGAGAAGAAGCACACCAAAGCGGAAAAAGCGGAGCCCCCTGGATGGGCGTCGAGACCTCCACCTCGCAAGGTCTTTCAGGGCCCCCGATCGATGA